CAGTGAAAACTGAAAACTGTTGATTTTATGGCTTGTTTTTTTCTCTTGAAAATTAATCATTTTGGAGACTAAGGCACATTGTATCCAAAGATCTGATTTTAAAACCAACCCAGAAAACTGTGGTTTAAAGCATTTGTCATCTTGGGAACAGAAATACTGGTGTTTTTGTTTGTTTATTTTGTTTTGTTTGATACAAGATCTCTCTATTATGTGGCTCTGGCTGTTCCAGAACTTGCTATATAGACCAGGCTGGCCTCAAATTCAGAGAGCCTTTGCCTCTGCCTGCCTTCTAAGTGCTGGGATCAAAGGTGTGTGCTAACATTCCCAACCCTGAGATTCTTTTGATAATGCCCGAATCCACGTTCACTGGGCTCAGCCTGTGCCTCAGTTTCTTAGAGTGCAAAAAAGTTTCTTCTTTGGCAGCACTAGGTATTGTATATGCAAGGCACACACCTCTGAACTATACCCTCCCAGTTGTCCTTTTACTTTTCATTTTGTGATAGGTCTCACCATGTTGCTCAAAGTGGCTTTGAACTTGCTGCATAACCCAAGAAGGGCCTTGAACTTTTGATCCTCAAGAAAAGCTGGGATTATAGGTTTGTACTGCCAAGCTTTACTTGTGCCTCAAGGTTCTTAAATGTAATATGTAACTACAGAACATTTCTTGGAGTTTTAAGTTTTATTCATGATATTCCATTAAAATATTTAGCACTAGAAAGTAAAGGTACAAGTTACCTGAATAGAAGGAAATGAGAATAGTGAGGCCTTTTACCTATGGTAAGCTTTGTCTGCAGAGAATGGAAAAGTGTGTAGCCTGTTAGTGAGTTTGCTGCTTTGTGGTCGTAATGGATTTTCCTAAAGCTATTTCCCGCTGATCATTAATAATCCCCGTATAGTAAAGGGCTATTGTTCTTCGGTATGAGTAAATAACCCTGCTGGAGACACTGCTTATCTTCAGACCACAATGCCTGCTTCTTACTGGAAATGTAACACAGGTGCCAACACTGAAGGCACGACTAAGCTTTCCTTCCTATGTCTCTTCCTTTATCTCTTTCTAACTTTTTACCATTGGTGCTCTTTTCTCCTAGAGCTATTGTAGTCCCTGCTTTTTGTCAGACACTGGCTGGTACACTGAATATACTGAATGATTTTCTTGTCAGAACAACTGAACAATCTTCAAGTGAAACTGTACCCCACAGGTCCCTAGTCTCCTAGCTTCCTTCCACACACACACACACACACACAATGGACTGTTTCCTGTCCTAGATTTAGCTTTTAGTTATTAGAATCTGAAGAGGGAAGTAATACCACACATTTGTGCAATTCTCAGGACATGCACATTTAATGAACTTCATACCACAATGATTTATGAAACAGCATTTTTTATGCAAAAAAAAAAAAAAAAATCAGAGATATACCATACCAGGGAAAGAGGTAAAGGATACTTTTATCAAAGGGAAAATGAATTTAGGTTAGACTATGAAACATGGGAAGTCAGTAGGATGAAGAGGAAATCCAAAATACCAACACCAGAAAGATTTCTAAAGTAATTATCCAAAGCAGAGCAACAGGAGACAAACATTCATCCTAAAGACAGATGTTCCTCGACTTGCAGATAGTGCTAGGTCCTGATAGTCTCCTAAACTAAAGACATCTTATATGGAAAGTGTATTTAACATAGCTAATCTATTCAGTGTCACAGCCTACCACCACCGTACCCCAAAGTCTTGGTTCTGTTGGGACAGGGTCTCACTAGGTAGCTCTGGCTGTACTGGAACTTCTAATAAAACTCACAGAAATCCTTCTGCCTCTGGGATTAAAGGTATATTATATACTAGTATACCCACCAAGCGAGAGAGCACAAGTCTTGGTTCTTCAACCTCATGGCTGACTGGGAGTGAGCTTGGCGGCTGCTGACCAACATTACAACTATTCCCAGCTTAGGAAAAGATTAAAATTCAAAGTACAGCTTCTAGAGAATGTATCATTTTCACATCACTGAAAAGTTGAAATAATTTTTATGTTGGGAGCCATCAGTGTATCATGACAGCAAATGAGCACACATCAAGATTATATGCATACAGGAGACTGAGCCAAAATTAAGAGGAGGTATATCAGTCAAACAGTCAACTTATTCAAGACAGAAATTCTAAGTGGAAGTCAATTTATAGTTCCTCAATTCAAAATAAATGGGTATGTTATTCCTCACCAGAATGTTGTTTACTGAGACAAGGTTTTATTCTAGAACCCTGACTAGACTGGAACTCTTGATGGTAAACAGGCCTGCCCTCTTGATGATTCTCTTGCTTCAGCATCCTAAATGCTGGGTTTATAGGCACATGCCAGCATATTTTAAGAAACAAAGGAACGAGTTAGCCAGAGGTGTTCAAAACCAGTTATCCAAACTCAGCTGTGAGAGATACTTGGGAAGAGCTGGGAACAAGGCAGTGTGGAGACTGTCAGACAGGACCTTCCACCCTTATAGAAAGTCCAAATGCTAATTTAAAGCCCTGCTTTATGACATTCTTCTAAGAAACTGGATTAGAAAATTGCAAAATGCCTTTGGTGGGTGCTGGCTGTGACATACCACTACACCTTTAATCCCAGCCTTCCTAGTTCCAGGCCAGCCTTCTACAGAGCAATTCTAGGACAGCCAAGGCTACACTGAAAAACCCTGTCCTGAAAAATCAAAACAAATAAAAAGCCTCTGGTGACAACACTGGACACAACTGAGAATTTCTGACTCTACATCCAGACACAGCATCCTGCATCAGAGACCATGTTTTCAGAACATTTTCTGAAAAACCTCTAGTTACCAAATGAACAACTTTATATAGTTGGGCCCAACAGTCCCTTTTGCTCGACTATCTGGCTTTACTTGTGAGGAATGACTGCCACTCGGAGTCCTTAAATTCTTTCAATGCTTCAATCCAACGATGAACAAAAGAACTGTCTACAGTAGAACTCTTCTGTTCCTCTACCCAACAGGGCAGACATCCCCTGCAGCCACATGCAGCTACTGAACATCTGGAATCTGTGTCTAGGGAACTGTTATTGAGTCACATGTGACTACTAGCACAGATGGACAGCATGGTTCTCAGGTCAATTACAAATCAAATGTCAGCTTAGGAGTGGGCGTGAGGAGAGATGCTTTTGTCATGACTTGTCGCAGAAGCCAAAAAGGGCAAGCAACTCTTCAGCTTTAGCTAAATAGGGATTCTAGGAACCTCATACTGGTGTTGTCAGACTGTCCGATTTTCCAAATGGAGCCAAAAAATCTGAATTCTGATGGTTCAGTTTTTAAAAGCTGGCAAGCAGATTTTTAAAAAGAAGAATTTAAATCATGTTGTGGGCAGAACAATATGCTTGTAGGCATTATCTGTCTTGCCAGCTTGCAACTTTTAATCTAGGCCAACCCTATCAGCTCGAAGAATAGGGCCTTTTTCCAAGGCCACTCTATCAGTGGCAGATCCAGGAACAAAACCCAGGCTTTCTGATACCCTTTGCATTGAGATTCACTGTAATGGTAGCGGCAGCTGCAGCAGTATGGACAAAACTCACTTTGTAAGAATGACAAGGCTGAGGCAGGGGTGGCTGGTGCACACCTTTAATCTCAGCACTGGAGGCAGAGGCACTGGATCTCGTGAGTTTGAGGCCAGCCTGATATACAATCAGGACTACACAGAGAAAACAACATACAAACAAAATAACAAAACAAAACAAACAGTCCTTTGGGAAGGCAAACATATTAACCAATATTTATCAAGAAACCAGGTAATGCATAGATGACTTCTGTGCAAGGTCAAGAGCACTGATAGCAGAGGGGTCAAGAAGAGGTTGGAGCCAGCTTTCAAGGAATGGCTCTCTCTCATTGTGATTGTAGGGCTCATTTTTGAGGAGTTAGTCTTGTTGAGCTTCCTATTGGCTACTACCCTGCTGGGTGGTTTCTAAATGTGAGGGGACCTAAGGAATTTGGGAACTTTCCTCATCTACTACCTGTTTCAAGGTCTAGGAATATACACTACAGTTATCATCTCCACCCATGACTTTCTTCCAACTTGTCTACCTCATTTCTGGCCATCTTCATTCGGGCTGTAAAAATGACTGTTGGCATATGTTCAAGAGAGCTTATGATATTCCTTCTCAAACTGTTTTCTCAAGGGAGGCATCTTTGGTTCCACCCTCTCCCACACATTTCATATCCAATTCAGCGGTCAGTCCATTATGCTTAAGCTCCCAAATATATTATGAATCAATCCCCTTATTTCCGTATTTTTTCAACTCTCCCATGGCCTTAGGAGCAGTCCTTTACCTTCTCTATCCAGCAGCATTTTTGAAAAAATGTAAATAAGGTCTGGTCACTTACTACACTTCAAGAAGTAATACGAAGGCCAAACCATTGCTATTTCTGCAACTCCAAGAAAGCCTCCAGTCTCTTCTGCCTTTTGTTTTATAAGCGTTATCCCTTTGGCAGTTTTCTCCGCCTAGAAAGTTTCTTCCTTCTCCCATTCTCTTTTGCTCTTAAACCCTAGAGAGGCCTTCTCACCACTCCATCCAGTTTGGGGCACCTGCTATCTTCTGCAGTCATCTGTTTATTAACGAAAAGTTCAGGAAGAAGGCTTCCTTCTTTTTGCCATGTGCCCAGCTTGGTAATGAAACTAGCCTTCCTTGTCACCTGAAGTCTGATTCTTACATCCGGGTTCCTTTGGGTGGCCCTTCTAAAGGCAGGCATCTCTGCAGCCTCCTAGAACTGGCCCCATCGCCTTCCATTTATATTCTAAAAGTCTGAAGGGTCCCAAGCCAGACCTCGCCCACGTGCCACTTCCCTTGGGCAGATCTCCCGAGGCCAGCAGCAGCGTTGACACCAAGCCGCCCTCACGAGGCTGGGGTCACACAGGCGCATCTCCTAGCAACCCCACACCGGCACCTCATCCCTGCCCCAAGGAAGCCAACCCCTTTCCCCAGTGCCCCGCGACTGGAGTCGGCGTCTCCATCCTTACACTCACTGGGCGTCAGTCCTGCCTTCCCCCACCTACGGGAGACAGCTGGGAGGCGGTGCCAGGAGCTCGGCCGAGCCTTGGCCACGCCAGGATCCATCCAGCAGGTCCGGTAGGCCAGGTCGGGCCAAACCACCGAGCGGACCGCTGTGGGAGCATGAGGCCCAGGTCAGAGGTCGTCTCAAACCTCCTCAGACTTCTAGCTCTAGCCTACTCCCCGCCCCACTCAACAACACGGCTAACCTCCCTCTCCTCTTGCTTTCGCTTTTACCCTTTCGTTACCCCCTTCCCCCATTTCCAGTAAGAAAATGGCCTAGCCCAGCTCCTCCAAGCCCACCCTCCGCCTCTCCCCATCTTGCCCTTACTTGGAGACAGCTTCGGACGTCCTCGCGTACGCCGTGACGTCACCCTCCTCGTTCCCGTCCCCGCCCCTCTCCCATTCTCTCCCTCCTGGAGCCAGCGGCCGGCGGGGTTACCGGAAGTGATGATGCAGGAGGCGATGGAGGGGGCGGGGCTTCGGGGCGGCCGCCGCCGGTGGGCCGCAGATGAGGAGGAGGCGGCGGCCGCGGTGGCAGAAAAGGCGGCGGCGGCGGGGTAGGAAGCCTTGAAACGCAAGCGGGGATGGTAGGTGGTTTGGACCCGCCGGGCCGCCGTCGTTTCCAGAAAGGGTTTGACTGGAGGAACCTCTGGAGCAGCTGTGAGTTTGGAGGGGGGGGGAGTTGAGGAAAAGGGGGGAGCATTGAGAGATGAAGGGGCGGGGGTTCGGTTCCTTCGAGAAAGGGGGTGGTGGTGGGAAGGGAGGAGTGCAAATCAGCGCCTTGTCTGGACTGGTCCCTCTGGAAGGAGAAGCGCTGAGGGGGAGCCTGTGGCGTGTCAAGCGCAAGGCTCAGAAAACTTACCTACTGTCCCTGCCTGTCCACCGCCAGCACCCCTCAATCCCGGGCCTGGGGACCTGGGGCCGTAGGAGGGACTGCAGCCTCTGAGCTGAAAGTCTTGGGTAAGAGCCCTGAGGTAGGAGCCCAAGGGGGAGGTGGTGGGTGAATCTCCAGCTCCCTCCCTGATTTTTCTCCCCACCCCCATCCTTCTCTGTAATCGTTAACAGCCCTGGAATTAAGGGGCTCAGACCTGAAGGCTGTTCTGTGCACCTTTCCTACAAACGATAACCATCAGTGCCTGAGGTAATGGGGCTGGAGGCTTTGCCTGTATCCTGTTTAGGAAGTGGGACGGGGTGACAAATGTATTGTTTTTTCCATCCCCACCTCTTATCTTCCCCCATACACTCCCCTGTTCCTACTTTAATTCTCTGCGGTTCAGTGGCAGTCGTGGTCACCCTCTTCCCTTTGTGGCACTTAGTACCTTGGGTACCTCTTCTGGATTTTGTGTTGAGCCTCTATCCCGGCTCCTAACTGCAAGCTTTGTAGTACTTCAGTTATGGTCTGTGTCACGCCGGGGAGCACCTCCCAACGCTGCCTGGCTCCTGATTATAATGAACATTTTCTTTTATGAATACTGGAATTCCAGAGCTCTTGCAAGGAATCAGAAATGGCATCACAGCCCAGGAATCAAGGTCTCTCTCTCGAAATACTTTATGTGTAAGGAATTTTTGTGTTGTCAACTCTTTCCAAAAATGATTTGATGTTAAGCTAATTCTGGATTTCTGTTTCTCTCCACCCACACTTCATGATGCACTTCTGAGAACAGAAAATCCCATATTACTTTTTTGTTGTTGTTGTTTCTACAATTGGACAATGGCTCTTTTCTCTTTCTTGATTTGTGTGTCAGCTTGGCTGATTTTTAGAGGATGCTTTGTGTATAGGTGGTCTTTCAAGAGGCAGTGTGATAAGTTGTTATGCTTTTAGCAGAGTACATATTCATAATGGGCATGGGAATGTCTAAAGATAGAACGATTAATCGGAAAGAGCTCCCTCATATTGTTTAAAACAAACAAAAAAACCCACTGAGTAAGTAGTGCCTCTTCTAGCGATTTCAGAGTGAAGTGTTAATGATTCTTGCTTTGGTGTTGATTTAAAAAAAAAAAAAACAATCCTGCATTGATTATGGAGCTGTCTTTTAAGAAACTTTATGCTTTAAGAAATAGTGCTAGATTTTAGGGGTCTTTTGGCTAGAAAGTGGATACATTTTGCTTTTTAATGGTATTTCATTTTCAGTATCACTAGGATTATCATAGCAGATGTTCTGATGCTGGGAAGAGAGTGCCATCACATTTATCTGGGCTTGCAGGCCTGATACAACAGAATAATTAATGCCTTGATTGTACAAGTAATGGTGTTTAGATGGCTTACAGAAATATAACAAAAAAAAATTACTGCTAGCTAGTCTCACTTTAATTCATTTAGAACCTAATCTGCCACTGAATGAAAAGTTCAAAAATTCCTTCATCCCATAAAGTACTAGCCAGTTTTTAGACAGTGAGTGTACAAAGGTGAACACAAGCAAAAAGGTCCCCTCTCAAAGAGTTCATCAGAATGGGAGGTAAGGACAGAGATGATAAATAAGTAAATCTGATAAAAATGAATGATGGAATAGAAAGTGTGACTGGAAGGCAGTGAAGGGAGACCTTCCTGAGGTGACACAAACTGAACTTTAAATGTAAATGGAAAGGAGCTAGCCATGCAAGGATGAAGGGAGGAGTCTTGGAGGTTTAGGGAGTGGCTTGTGCAGAAACTCACTGGAATGAACTTGGCAAGTTCTAGGGACTGGGAAGAAGAAAGGGGGGTAGGGTGTAAGTTAGTGTGTAAAAGGTTGGATGAAATAGGGTCAGAAAAGTGGAGTTGGGCTCATATTAGGTACACAAAATATGAGTAAGGAGGAGGAAGAAATAGAAAATCCTTTTTGGCTAATTCTATTGGCGTTCCTGGAGCTTTTACCATTGTTTTTGCAGGTTCTATTGGACTATCTGTCCTAGAGCTTTTATCATTGTTTTTGCAGGTTCTACTGGAGTATTATAATTAGAAGCAAAAGCAGCTCACCCAGCTGACAGTAGTAGAGGAGGAGCAGCAATGGCCACTTGGGCTTTGTGTTTAGAAATCAGCAGGATGTTCAATTGAGGGCACACCTGTTCCCATAAAATATTTCTTTGTACATGCTGCTATTGAAAATTGCATAATAAGTACTCTGAATGTATGCTAGCATTTACATCTTACGTCTCTGTGTGAACTTAAGGTTGAAGGATTGGTATGTGTTAATACGATGTAATAATATGTTGATCTACAAGTAACCATCCAGATCTAAGTTTCTGTTTTTGTTTGTTTTTTGTTTTGTTGTTGTTGTTGTTGTGGGGAGGCAGCATTTGTGTTGCAATAGTTCTGTTCTTGCCTTGGCCTCCCGGTGAGTAATGATATTCCACTGAGAGGCAGGTCGGTACTAAACGTTCACTCCGTGGATCACATTAGATAAGAACTCTTGTGGGCCCATTTGTACTGTGTCACCATCTTTGGACTGGCATGTAACTCAGAGGTGTAACTGGCTTTTGCCTGCAATTAGGGGCATTCATCTCCAGTTTAACCTTATCTTAGACAGACCTGAGAGGCTTACCAAGACCTTACTTTGGTTTGGCCTTCATGAACTGCATCACAGTGGGCTAAAATGGGGAAAAATTATATATAAAATTATATATAAATATTTATTTATATAATTTATTAAATAAGTTATATAAAATATGTATTATTAAATATATAATTTTTTTTTCTTCTCAACTCTGACGAGTATTTGAGTGAATCAGTCTTTGGAGCTTTGCAGTTGAGAAACATAAATGTTGCTTTGACTGTTTGTAGAAAATCCAGTCTTAAACTCTAAAAGTAACTTTTATTCACCTTGATTTAATTGTCATCTTGGAGGCCTTCATCTGCTAACCTAGACCTAGTCCTGGAAGCTTCTAGCCTCTGTATGATCTAATCTAGGTCTAGAATGTTTCAGCCTCTAAAACTTACTGCTGAATAAGCTGTAGAGGAATTTTAATTCAGAACATGGCTATTCTGGCAAGAGATCACATCCAAAGATCTTCTAGGTCTGTGTGATTCAGCTGGAATACAAATACGCCTTTAATTCATGAGACAGAGGCAAGTAGGTTTCAGGTAAAGAAGAGCTTAGGTCCAGGTGTGGTGGTACACGCCTTTAATCCCAAGCAATGAAGGTAAAAAGTCACTTTGTAAAAGGAAATGCCCCTGTTTGGAAGTGATGTCTAATTGAGTGGCAGAAAAGGTGACAAATCAGAGAAGATTTAACAGAATAGGACATGCCCAACTCTCAGGAAAAGAGAGAGTAAAGGGAAGCTACTTAAGGGGCAATGCTGGGTGAGAAAAGGCAGAATTTTACCAGGACAGTAATAAAGAGGTGGGTTTCAGAGAAAGAATGCACATGAAGACAGAACAAGCCCAGAGAATGAGAATGAGCCAGAATATTAGAGCAGATTGCTGGGGATAGTTTGAGACCAAGCAGAATAATTCAGAGGCTAAGAGAAAAGCCAGACTGAATAAGTCAGCTGGGATAGGAGTTTGAGCCAGAATATCTGAATTGAACCAGCCAGCCCAGCTCAGAAAGAACAAGAAAGGGTGAACTTACTAAGCATTAAGTCTTTGAGACTGAAAACATTTTAGGCCTAGGTTAGATTGTGCAGAGGTTAGAAGCTTCCAGGACTAGGCCTAGGTTAGAAGGAGGCAGTAAGCCTCTGAGACAATTAAAGAAGGTGAATAAAAAGCACTTTTACATAAGCTCACTCTTTCTAGGTCTTTCTAAACTCTGGCTGGTTCAACTCAGCGGTTCTGGCTCAAACTCCTCTCCTAGCTGACTGATTCAACCTGACTTCTCTCTTGGCCTCTGATTGAATTGCTGCGCCTCAAACTAACTATAACTCTAGCAATCTTTTCTAATCTTCTGGCTCCTTCTCATTCTCTGACTTGTTCTGTCTTCAACCTCTCTTCATAAAACTCTCCCGGTAAAAACTGCCTTTGAATTCTGTGAACTGAACTGCCACAAACACAACTCCACTTCGTTGCCTCACACCTCACTTTCAACCAAACTGCCTGAAGAACACTGACTAGAAGTCTGAGATCTGCATGCCTCTGTCTCCTGAGTTCTGGGACTAAAGGCGTGTACCGCCATACCTGGACTGAAGTTTTTCTTTACTTGAAA